TGCGTGCAATCCGACGAAACACGTCGAGAGGCGGCGGCAGCGGTTCGATAGAAACAGGGCGCGAATTCCGCGGTGCGAGCTCTAAGATATATTCGAAGACGATGGAAAGAAGAATGTTAGTAAGGGGAAAGGAGCCATAGGGGACAATGGTGTGAATCGCAACCGAAATGTCGGAAGAATCTTAGATCTACTTTAACATGGAAATTTGAGACAGACTCTATTATTTTTGTCGCATTCTGAATGTCGACCCTTTGAATTCGACGTTTCTTATATTCCCATCGCGTAAAAATTATGTTTCAATCGTTGTGAATAATATTTACACAAACATTTTAAATGCTAATTATGTAACATCTATTAATGTTTAATACTTTGATTTTATCCTATCCTAATTTTCAAACAGTTTATGTTGTTTTTTATTTCATTTTACGATAATAATTTTTTAATCAAGTAAAAAGAATATTTTCACAAATTCAATCACAAATGGATACTTAAATAATTTCGATAATATATGATGGATAAAGACAATTGTTCATATCAAAACGTAATGCACAAATTCGCGTTAGCGAACAAAGTTCGAGTTAACAAATCTTCTAAAGGGTTGAGTCACGCTTGTCCAGAAAGGACAGAGCAGTTGAACAGGATGTTAAAGTTAACAAGGCTTCATCTCTTTTCGCTCGTAAACGCCAACGCCTCGTAATTATAACGAGATGTTTCCTTCGAATATAACGAGCATAGCTGATAAGATCGGAAAGTAATAGCTCGAAGATAGCTAACACTTTGAATCAGTCCTTATTAAAGTCATGCATCAAATGTTGTAAATTAATGGGACGATTCCTATTTTTTAATATTTAATTAGCTAATATGGACGTGGATATTTATAAAATATTTGTGAAATTATGCATGTCATATAGGAAGTATTATCGTACAATATATAACGAACCGATTAGTCATAAATGTGAATATCGTTGCATGTCGTCAATAGAAATGTAAACTGGTTTTCGTGTCACTAACCTTAAATCTAAAGCGATCACAACGTCGAGATTGACTACAGTCTTCGGCTATGGTTCTTCTTTTCACAGTCAATCTGGAAAGATAACACACGATACTTTGATTTTGGCCTTGAATCCAAATGATGCAAATGCGCACAGATAATGCAGTATCACACAAAAAATTTATGACGCCACGTTAGAAATTCGGAAAGGATAATCGCGTGATAGTTTGCTGATTCTTAATTGTCTCAAGATATTGTTTAACGTACAGGATGATCAAAATATATAAGCCATATTAAATAACATACATACATATTAATAGAATTAAAAGTAATGATATTAATATAACAATTATTTAAATTTAATATTAGAAAATATGATAAAAGTTAGGTTTCAAAAGGCTGATAAAAAATGTTATCAAGTATAAAATTATAAGAAAAGATAAACATAGAGAAAAATATAAGGCAAGGTTTTTTCCAATATCGTTCATCATTATATATGGGCGTAATCTTTCGTCTCTTTTCTCGATATCAAATTGCAATACATTTACTCAAGTGAGCGGAAATGTGCCCACTTGAAAAATTGACTCTACTTGGATGGTCCCGCACACGCCGCGAATAAGATTGCCTTTGTAATTTCTCCACTGGCCTCTACAAGCCGAGCTTCTTTAAAAGCACCACGCGATTGAACGCGCGCCTCGCTGATCCGCCGAAGGTGCGTCGCCGGTCGGATAATGGCTTATTAACAAAGCGTTGCCGAGGAACGCGGGGAAGTGACAGAGGGGCCTTGACGAGAATCGTACGAAGGAATCGAAAAGAGAGACGGAGAGAATGCGAGAATCCTGACGCCGGGAGTCGAGTCACGGGTTACTTCGACGCCTTCGTAGAATGGGTCCCAACACAACGGGGCTTTAATTACGCCGATATCACGGTAATTAAGCCGATCAATGCGTGCTATTGTGCGCCAAGCGGAGAGCTTCAGTGCTTCACCCGGGTTCCTATCCGCAATCCCGACTACGAGTCTCCTCCGCATGCCACAAAAGCATCCCACCTTCCGTGGGGATACAAGGACGCATCCTGCCTGCAGTCGAATCTTCACCGCAACTATCTCACCGCCGCCACGCCGTGGAAAAGCCATGACAAAGAACGGGGAGGAGAATAAACACAGTGACTCTCCCAATCCCGTCGATGATACGCAAACCGTTGGGCCTTCTACCTACCGGTGACGAGAACATCGGATATGAAGAACCATCGTGAGCACTCAAATGGATCCCTTCATGGGGAGATTATTTCGTTCGATCGTTCGATCAGATCCGAATCTAATGGAATTCAATGGAGGGGAACGCTTCGCGGAGCATTGTTTCTATGCTTTTCAATCTTTTTAATCCTTTAAAGCGTGACGACCGAACACTAAAATCGTTCCATATCTTTAATGTGTACTTAATAGCGGTTATATTTTGTTATATTTTGCAGATAGATTTAAGGGGTTCCTAAAGCGACAGAATTATCAATATTACAGATTAGAAAGTTCTCCGAATTGGCTGTAATGTATAGATTGTAAAATCCTTTTACACAATTAAAATACAAAAAAAGATGCAAGATAGTCGATTTGGAAAAAAATAAAAAAAATTATTATATTATCATTATAATTTTTAGATTTATAGATGAGGGATTAGTATAGATAGATTTAGAAGAAAAAGGAAGAGTGTATAAAATTAGAATTGATATAGTCAGAGCAATTATTCCCCCAAGTTTATTAGGAATAGATCGGAGAATAGCATAGGCAAAAGAAAGTATCATTCAGGTTGAATATAAGTAGGTGTAACTAAAGGATTTGCTAGGGTAATCTTTTCTCGCATTTTTTATGCATATTTTAATTGTATAAAAGGTATTTTGCAACTTGTACAGCCAATTCGAAGAACTACTTTTTAATCTGTAATGTTGATAATTTTATCACTTTAGGATCTCCTTAAAATTTTTTTGTATTCAATTGATATACTTCATTTTCATCTAATTATTATATACAATTTTCTTATTAAAGAAGTATAAATTAAGATTGAAATATATTAGTTTTAATTTTAACATTATATTTTTTTTACAAAACTCTTGTAGTACTCCATTAAGAAGAAAGTTGCATAATAATTTATAAAAGCACATTAAAGGCACTATTAGGCAAGATAATATTTCGTTCTTAACGAACTACATTTATCTCTAATACTAATTTCTAAAACCACGAATGTATCATTCCGTTTGAATATCTGATTGCGCATCTTAGATTGATATGCGGTTCACATGAAACACATTGGAATGCCTCGTGGCAACGAATGGATAAAGTCATTAATTTCAAGTTGCATATGATCTCCGTTCGCAAAGAAATACATTTTTAAATAAACATACTGCAATTATGGTAATCAAACAAGCAAAAAAGAAAGCCATACGTTTATCTAATATCTCTCTAATATTTCTGTATTTCAATCATTATAATTACGATACCGAAAATATCAGCATGGAAAGTTTACGAATAATGATTCGACAAATTCTCCATTAAATTTTTTATCTTACGACGATAAAGAAAGATGTAATTTTGTCTTACA